AAAAAAAAAAAAAAAAAGAATTGTGTCTCTAGTTTAGAACCACAGAATCCTGTCTGGAACCGTGAAAAAGTGTACGAGGAGGTGGGCCCAGCACTCAGGGGCCCACCACTCCCTTATGAAACCGCCAAAGAAGAAAGTAAAAGGTACACACTTAAATGTGAGCAATAATAACATGTACCATACCAATGTCCTGGAAGATAACGTTGCTGGTGGCCCTCGGAAGCCTGTCTGGGGAGCTGGGTGAGGAGGCCATGCCCCCTGAAAGGTCCCCTGGGAGAGGTGGATCTATTATGGCTTTGGTAGATGAGAGTAGCCTTTTGATTTTTAAAATTTCATCTAGAAAGTTAAGGCCCACACCTGAGTGAAAAGAAGAGTGTTCCCTGCACATCCTCTAACTGAAAACGGTTGTTTTCCTTGGTAAGGAATTATCTATAAAAGACAATCTGTTTGCAGATGAATAGTAAAATTCCAAGTAGATTTACGTACATTCAAGTAGTCATATTTGTGCAGAAGCCTCATCCAAAAATAATGTGGATGACTATTTTTACGGTAAAATTCAGACAAGCAGAGTCATAAATAACTTATGAATAAATAATTACAGATCATAAATACCTTGAGCTGAGGCCTCCTCGGTCTGGTCTCCGTAAGTTTTAGATGCTGGGCCCAGAAGGGCTATACAGGTGTCACCTCTGTGTTTAGTAATAGCTCCTTATTCTACCTGTCTGTTCCTTAAAGAGGCTTAATAAACACCAAGGTGAAATTTAAAAATTAGAAAGTGCAGAGTCCAGGTGTTCTCTGGGAAGAAAATGAGCCTTTCTTATTTTTGATGTTTTTTCAGACTAATGAAATTATCCATTTTCATTAAAGATTTTAAAAAACCAACCTTTTTGAACACTTCTTTATGGCACAAGGTCTAATACAAAGCCATCTCTAGAAGGCTGTGTTGCACCTTTATTTCTACAGGGGCCCCTATGGTGAGTTCCATTCACATTGCAGCTATCTGGAAGCATTTTCCAGGCATTGCTTTTGGTGTTCCATTATCATCTCTCCCAGAATGTTCTCTGAGGCCAGGTTACCCCATTACCATTGATACTGCAGCCACATGTGTGGAGAGAAGCCAGACCCAAGGAGGGTAGTTGTGATCAAGGGCAACTAAGCATGGTTTCAGCCCCACAGAAGAATTCCAGCTTCTCAGTTTTCTATGTCTGGCAGGTAACCAGGTGAGGGGGGTTTGAGGCTGTCATTTTATCTTGAATTTTCTGAGCTCTAGGCATGCTGTCCCACCCACTCTCTCTGCCTTAGTAGAAAGGATAAAGGCATTTCAGAGTTCCTGCTGAAATCCAACCCTCTGATTCCCATCAGCTGCCTTCCAAGCTCTCACCCATGTTCTTTCACAACCCAAATGCTCTGGTGCCCGTGAAAACAGCAGATTTACTGTGATTTTCATGGTAATCTCATAATTAGCCTAATTAATGAAGTCACTTAAATACTAAAGAGTTGGCTGGTTTTTCAGAGAATGGCATCTTTGGAAGCATAAAAACTTAGCCCACAGTATTGTATTTAGCTAACTAGCCTTTTTTAATTAAAGAAATAATAGTTGTATATATATATTTTTTAATTCAAGTAGGACCAAAGAGCTCCAGATGAATCTTTAGTCCTCTAGTAATATACTCCTCCAAAGGCAACTATGGAATTTCATATGTCTCTGGGAACACTTGTGTTTATGTCTAACATACACGTTTAACCTATACACATACATATATACATGTACGGTGCATGTACATGTGTGTATATAACATGAATACGCTCATCACTAGGAATGTGCGTGTGTGTGTACATGTCTGCTGATGTCTTCTAGCACACAAATAACCCTTCTAGATACTTGGTTCCACACCCTGTCTTTCCAACTGACCAATAGCACTTGAGGTTCGCTTCACTTTGTAATAGTTGGATGTTATTCCATTACTCATTGGACCAACCCACTGTGGGTGGACATGTACATTGTCCTTTATTTTTGCTATCACAATGTGCTACTGAGCATCCTTTACTGCACATGTGTGCAAGGACGTCTGTAGAATTAGCATCACTAGGTCAATGGGATGAGCATTATTCTAACAGGTTTGACAAAATCCTTCAGGAGGATTATGCACCTGTCCATGTACTCACCTGGCCCCTAGGCTGTGATAACTCAGAGTTATTTATAACAGTATGCTTTGTCATTTATTTACAGCGTGTGTACTAGAATTTCCAGCCTTCCTAAGTGAGTCTTTGGAAGTCCTTTGTCTGAACGATAACCACCTCGATGGGGTCCCTCCCTCAGTTTGTTTGCTAAAGAATCTATCAGAGCTCTACTTGGGAAAGTGAGTACACAGTGAGTGGCTGACTGGCCCTGCTGGCCAGGAGGGCAGAATGCCCTCCCATAAACCAATAGGAACACAGGGACTGGGCGGAAAGAAGCCATGTATTTACCATGAAGCAGCAGTGGGATTTTCAGAACTAGGCTTGGTTGAGAAGGTAGGGGAGAGGAAGACAAGGGTAATATGCAGATACTTTTGCTGCTCTCCAGGTTATAATGAGGGGAATCTTTTCATAAGGGGAAGAGATAGGAAAGTTGGGGGAGGGGACCCACTTCTAAGCCATGGGGATTTGCAGAAGACAGAGCTGCCATTCCCACCATTGACTTCCCAGGGAGGAAGGCTTTGGAGTTATGTTCCAATGGAACATGATAAATCAGGGCCCAAGGTGGATAGGGCTTGGGGTGTAGGCGGTCAGTATCCCCTGCAGGCTACAGAGGCTGACAGAAGCCGTGTGTGTGTGTGTGTGTGTGTGTGTATGTGTTTTCTCATGGTGGGCCTGTGTGTCCTCAGCAACCCTGGCCTCCGAGAGCTCCCTCCTGAGCTAGGGCAGCTGGGCAACCTCTGGCAGCTGGACATTGAAGACCAGACCATCAGCAATGTGCCTGCAGAAATCAGAAAAGAAGGTAGAGGGCTTCCACAGCCATGTCCTCTAGCATCACCTCCTTGTTAAGACAACTCAAGTTCATTGTTAAGTTCTGGGAGTAGAAACAGCAGGTGACCCTTGGAGTCCAACTATCTGCTATATAATTGTCCCTAAAGCAATAGCTAGTCTGTGTCACCATATTGCGAATAACCACATGGTACCACTATCAGTGACCTCCCACGCAGCCAGGACTTCATCCTTCAGTTCTTGACTTCTAGACATCACTCTGAGGGTGACTAGCCAGACCCAGCAGTCTTCCTTTACTGTCCCCCATTAGAACATAGAAAACTCTCCTTTACAATGTGATTTTATTTCCTGAGTGAGGAGGGCCTGTCCCCATTGCTGTGTTAGCAGCAGCTTCTGCTCTTCCCCTTTATGACTCCATACAGGCCCCAAAGCCATGCTGTCCTACCTGCGTGCTCAGCTGCGGAAGGCAGAGAAGTGCAAGCAGATGAAGATGATTATCGTGGGTCCCCCACGCCAGGGCAAGTCCACCCTCCTGGAGATCTTACAGACCGGGCGGCCCCCCCAGGTGATGCATGAAGAGGTCACCATCAGGACCACCAAGTGGGAGCTCCAGAGGCCGGCTGGCTCAAGAGCCAAGGTCAAGAATGGTTGGCATGCTGAGTCCCTGTAGTGGAAGGGACGTTCCTTGGGCCCCTTCTACCTTTGCCCTAGAGAGCCCAGAATTTTCTCAGCCTGGTGTCTGAAGTCCAGGACATTTGCAGGGGCTGCTGTGTACTGTTCCAAACCAGACACCAAGATTAGTGAATCATTTCTTAACATCATCTTATAGTTTTCCTATTACAGTTAACTTGAGATTCTGGATCAGTGGTTCCTAACTCAGACCATCCATTAGGATCCCCTGGAGGAGCTTTTAAAGATAGTAATGCCAAGGCCTTACCACTCTCTGACCCCAAAGACTCAAATTCAAATGGTCAGGGGCAGGGGCCTCCAGGTGCTGCAAGCTAGCTACTGCTGAAGGCAGTGAAACACACCAGCATCTGCCCCCTGACAAGGAGGCTGAGAAAGCACCCTGGGAATTCATGCTTTGTCCTCCCTAATCCCTGCTTTCACCCTAAGTTCTGGAAAGTTGCATTTTTTAAGTCCCACTTGAAATGAATGTTTTGCTGAACCTATTAGCCATTCTGTTTTCTTCTTTTCTTTGAGAACAGAGTCTCACTTTGTCACCCTTGGTAGAGTCCTGTGGTGTCACAGCTCACAGCAACCTCAAACTCTTGGGCTCAAGCAATTCTCTTGCCTCAGCCTCCCAAGTAGCTGGGACTACAGTCGCTCACCACAACACCTGTTTTTAGAGACAGGGTCTCTCTCATGCTTAGGCTGGTCTCAAACCTGTGAGCTCAGGGCAATACCCACCTTGGCCTCCCAGAGTGCTAGGATTACAGGCGTAAGCCACCATGCCCGGCTTCATCCTGTTTTCCATTCAATGCCAGGAAAATGCAAATGAACATTTTCTTGCTCTTGAAACAGAGAAAAGGGCCTGTGGAATATTAGTGGTATCTCCAGGGCAGTCATCTCTTTCTCTGAGCATGAGTGATGATCACACACAGATAGCACCCATTCTTATCGGCTCAATTTGTATTTCTGCCACCATCTAGTTCCTTGGGGGTCCAAGGTGCAAAGAGGCTGTTGTACTGTGGAAAACTGAGGGGCCTTGAGGTCCAGATGTTGCATAATCTTCTCCAAAGCCCCCCAGCAAAGTGCCAGCTAGAGATAGGTTTTGCTGCTATCTTTCAGACAAAACCATTTTCCAAATCCAGTTTGAGAAATTAGGCATTTAAACGGAATGTGTATTCTAACATGGATTCAGAAGGTAGTCCTCTAGAGTCCTATCTGTTAGGGCCAGAACAATCACATACACTAATTAATACCAGGTCCACCCATCCAAGAACACCCCAGAAAGAAATCTGCATTCTCTAAAGTAATCCGAATCTTCTGCATTTTCTCCTGCCTGGCCTTTTTAACAATTACTCTCATATTCTTCCTTTAGCTGAGGCTGGAGGGTGAATTAGTACTTGTATTTTTCCTGTCCTTTGGCCTCCATTTCCTTCCTATCATGATGAAAACTCCCACCTTCTTTAGTGGAAGGATGACCACCTGATCGTGTGAATGCTGAACCTGCAACTCCCTGTGTGGCTGGCCTTTAGCCAGCTGAGAACAGCTGGTTGTTTGCGTCTTCATACAAAACCAGGTCAGCATGCTCTGTCTTGGAGGCCAAAATGCTGCATCACAGAAATGACTCCTTGCTACAGAAAAGTGCAGCCTTAGCTCCCCAGGCCAGACTCTTACCTCCTGTAACTAGAAACCATCGTTTACACAGCCGTGCGGGCAGCTGACAGCTCATCTTTTGTTTGGTTCCCATTATCAGGGGAGTTTCCAGTCATCCTTGGTGGTCACTGCCCTCTGACCTATACAAACTTGGAGGCCACTTCCTTGGTTTTGCCCTCCCACCCAGGGAGGGAGGCTAAGTTCAGTGTGAACAGTGATGTTGGAGGAGGGCGTCCTCCTGCAGGGCGCTTCTGAATGCTTGGCAGCCCACACAAAGTCAGTCCCATGCCACGCCTTCTAGCACCCATGCCCTTGCTCTGCTAGCAGTAGACAGAAGACCACCCTCAGGCCCCGAGACCCCTTCCCCCTGCCTAGATGACTAACTCCTGAGGGAGACAACAGGATGGCCTTAACTTTCTCACCCTCATTTTTTTTCAGGCCCCCAAGTATAGCTTTAAAAGTCATCAGTTACCTCCCTTAGGTTTACTAAAACTTAGGTCTCTAAAATGCCTCCCTGTTGCTGCCTTGTTGCTCAAGTAGGTTGACTCAGTGGAGTTCAACGTCTGGGACATCGGAGGCCCTGCCAGCATGGCCACTGTCAACCAGTGCTTCTTCACTGACAAGGCCCTATACGTGGTGGTCTGGAACCTGGCGTTAGGAGAGGAAGCGGTAGCCAGCCTCCAGTTCTGGCTGCTCAACATCGAGGTGAGGATGCCAGCCACCAGCTCTGTGGTCCTCGTCTCTCAGAGCGTCCTGGGGGGTGGGCTGCATCTCTGAAGCATCCTCTGTACTGAAGGGAAAATAGGAATGAAGTTAGGGAGGAGTGCTTTGCATGTTGAGGTGCTTTCACAGAGGCCCCCAGAATCATGCTGCTGCTTGGCTTTCATAGCAGAGCAACTTTAAGCGCTGTAGGTTGGTGGTACTCTTGTAATTTCCTTGTTTACCTTAAATGTAAGGATCCCTGCTCCCCTCCCAGGTATAAAAGTATTGTTCCCCTACCCCTGCCTCTAGTAGTGAATGTCATTTCTAAAGGATCAGAAATCCCTCCCTACAAGTCAAACTCAGTGACCCCTGCAAAGGAGGTCAAGGGTGCCTCAGACACCCCTTGGTACAAAGTGCCCTGGAGTGCATAGTGTGAGGCGTGTGGTGGCTACCTGTGGTGACAGGCCACGGCCAGAACACCTGCAAGGCTAGGCGGCTCTTTCCCGTCCCCCCACTCAGCCTCAGGGTTCCCTGTTGCAGGCCAAGGCACCAAACGCCGTGGTTCTGGTTGTGGGAACACACCTGGACTTAATCGAAGCCAAATTCCGAGTGGAGAGGATCGCGACGCTGCGTGCTTATGTGCTGGCGCTCTGCCGCTCCCCCTCGGGCTCCAGGGCCACCGGCTTCCCTGACATCACATTCAAGCACTTACAGTGAGTGTCCATAGCCTCTTGCTGCTCTTGTGCACATGTTACTGATTTGTCCATCCTTCCAGGATGCCAGATCTACCCACGGAGGGCTCATGGGGCTGGGGGTGGGCCCCTTCCCAGCCAAGGGTGGCAGCTCAGCCAGCTGAGCAGACCCTGCCCTGGAAGGGGTCAAGACCACTAGACAGCTTGGAGACGTCTACGGTGTGCCACCTCTCTGACACCCCTTCTCCTGCCCTCTGTGGCTGTGCTAAGAGTGCATGGCTTCCATGGGACTGGAAGAGTGAACTCAGGCACCTCACATCCCATTTGTTGATCAGTGATTAAGGACAAACCCTGGGGGGAAGGAAGACCTGGTCCTCATGTGGGATTCAAGTGGTCGTGACATTAACCATCAAGTCTGGGAAGAGTAGGGGTCAGGATGGGCCAGTGCCGGGGGTAGGGGTGGGGAACAGTTGCCCTGGGTTCACCTTGTGTCACTGGACTCTCACAACATCCCTGCAGGTTATAGGATTGTTGTGCCCACTTTATAGATGATGAAACTGAGGCTTGGCACGTGTTCCCTGGTAGGAATAAAATGCACTGTGCGTGGCTGCAGATGTACTGGTGGCTCTCAGATCCCCTCTGGGTGAAGTGCCACACAATTTGTATGGCACAGCTTGGCCTGGGAACATGTCAGCCTGGCTCAGAATGCAGAATGAGGCATTTGGAAATGCCTGGTGTTCCCCTGGGAAAATCCATGGGAGCTGGGAAAATAGAAGCACTGGCTCTGGGTCAGAACGCAGGTCCAACCTGCATGAGTCTCTTCCTTTTCAGTCCTCAGGGGGTCATATTGTACCTCTGTGCCTCATTTTCCTCCTCTGTGAAATGGGCTTGTTTGGGAAGACAGACTAAAGTAGCATATTGTGATGTGCCTGGCACAGTGCTTTGCACAAAGCGAGACCTCAGTCAACTTCTTATGAGTTCTTTAGACTTGGGGAAACAGAGACTGCAGTGCTTCTTCAGAGAGTGGAGCATAATCTCAGGTCTATTTGCACACACAGCGAAATTTCCTGTAAGAGCCTAGAAGGCCAGGAAGGGCTGCGGCAGCTGATTTTCCATGTCACGTGCAATATGAAGGATGTGGGCAGCACCATCGGCTGCCAGCGACTGGCAGGAAGGCTGGTGGGTACTCCACACATCCCATTAAAACCTGAGGGGCCTGCCTCTTTTGGGGGATCCCCTCTCACTACTGTGTTGTAAGGCTAGGCAGTGACAGGGAGGGTTGCAGGGATGGAGGACAGGGATTGGGGGTAAGGGAACATTCCACTTCCTCAGGCTTCAGGACTGGCCATGGGGGCTGGGCTGGGGCTGCCCAAGCTGGTAAGCATGCCTTGGCATCTGAGGGGCCCCTCTCCCCCACCTGTCCCCAGATCCCCAGGAGCTACCTGAGCCTGCAGGAGGCTGTGCTGGCGGAGCAGCAGTGGCGCAGTCAGGCTGATGACGTGCAATACCTGACAGACAAGCAGCTAGAACAGCTGGTGGAACAGACACCTGACAACGACATCAAGGACTATGAGGACCTGCAATCTGGTGGGCAGGGCGGGGTGGGGGTGATGGAACCCAGGTGGGCACCCAGTAGGCACAGGCATGAGGACCTCACAAGGCGTGGCAGAGGGCCAGAGCTCTAGGAAGGGTGGGGCAGGTTCTGTCTGTACTTGGTATCACCTGGCCCTCAGCACAACAGACTGATGAATTTTGAATGAGGGAACCAAAAACTCGGTCTGTACTCCTGCCTGCCTGCCTTCATCCCTTCTTTGCAGCCCTTCTGCACAAACAGCTACTCTGCGCCAGCTTGGTGTCAGCCACCAAGGATGGACAGATGAGCAAAATGGACTGCTCCTTGCCGCTAGGGCTGACAGCCCCATGGGGGAGACAGAAGTTAAAAAATGATGATCAGTTCTGTCTGCAGTTACATTCTACAGTTTCCCCACCACTGATAAGCAGTGCTAAACCATTACTCCCGGGGGAACACAGGGTGAGGCTCCTGCCAGCCTCTGATCACAGCATTTTCTTTAACTGATGGCTGCAGAGCCCTGCTTTATGTGCGTTTCTGCTTAAAGACACTATTAACTGCACATTGTTGATTTGTTAACATTGAACTCACAGCCAACAGCATCATACCTCATGCCTGAACAGCACATATCTCACACATATTTTCTCTGTAAAGTACATCAAAGCCACCTGGTGCTTAGAACACTTCAGCACTATGCTTGGAGCCATTTTAAACAGCAAATCCACCCACAAAAAGTACAAAAATTTTAAAAATGCAGTACTACCTAGACTGTGAAAAGATCCTTGTTTCCAGGATGAGAGCTGCACAACGGGGCAGAGCCTCCCCTCGTCTAACCTCAGCAAGGGACACACACATCGGGCCACTCAGATTTCCCTGCTCTGCGTGTGTCTTCTGGTGACCACAGGCACACCTGAAGTATTGATTTGGGGCTTGCACATAAATTTTAGCAAGTAGGCAAATAGAATCTGCAAATAATGAGGACAGACTTGTTCCCTGTGGTCATCAGCTTGGGACATTGCCGAGAGTGAGAAGGGGCTGCAGTGTCCAGGAGTGGGGTTTCCTCCTAGGAGAAATTTCTGACCTTCCCCCCGTCTTGGGAATAGAGACACTCCAGAGCCCCTTTCATTCCTCCATCTAACAATGTTTCTTCTCCCCATGCCTGGGGCAGCCATTGGCTTCCTCATAGAGACGGGCACCCTGCTCCACTTCCCCGACACCAGCCATGGCCTGAGGAACCTATACTTCATCGACCCCATCTGGTTGTCCGAGTGCCTGCAGAGGATCTTTACCATCAAGGGCTCCCGGTCAGTGGCCAAGAACGGGGTGATCCGAGCAGAGGACCTCAGGATGCTGTTGGTGGGGACGGGCTTTACACAGCAGACGGAAGAGCAGTACTTCCAGTTCTTGGCCAAGTTTGAGATTGCCCTGCCGGTTGCCAATGACAGGTAAGGGCATGCTCACTGGAAGAGGGGAAGGGGTACCGAGGGCTACTGATGGTCTGAAAAAGATTTCCAGGGATCTGTGCTGCCACTATCACCCACTCCCTCTTATGCCACAGGCTTCTCTTTTCAGGGAGTTGAAAGAAATCCACTTATTGAAAAGCTGTAGGAAAACATGCAAGGATGTCATTAAAAATAATTTGTGCCTTAATTGGTCAGTTATTTGGTAAGTAAAAATAGAGTGAGTGACAAGGCAGTCTAACATGACTAAATCATGGGAGCAACATTACCACCTGCTCCAAGGGTGGATGGGTGTCAGAGTCTGCATGGGGCAGCTTTTCCTCAAGTAGACACATTGTATACCATGGCTGATGGCTGCCTCCTTCTATGGATTTTTTCTGAGTCTGTAAGTTACCCAGGTTTCCCCCGTCCTAAACCACAAACAAAAACACGTCTCCCTCCTTCTCTTCCTCTTCCCCTTCTTCCCAGCACCTACTACTCCTTAACTGCCACCCTTTGACCAACTCCTCACAACTCTGTGCTGGTCACCAAGCCAAGTCCCTAGATCCTCCCCAGGCCTCAGTCCTCTGCTGAACCTGCCCCAAGTCATCAGACTTGGCCTCTAGGCATCCTTCTCTATGGTGATCCTGCCTCCCTTCTCTTCCACCTCCAGGGTTCTCAGTAAGCTCCCTCCTTTCCATGAGACATTGAGTCAGCTGCCTTGGTCCTCCATAGCCCAGAGAAAGAATGTCCAGATGTCCAGCCAGGACCACTCCAGAGCCTTAAGCCTGAGCATCCAAATTGCTACACCTGGGAAGCTGGCTTAGTGACCAGCACAGAGTGCCCAAGATCCACTCCCTCCCCTCCTCTGCTGTCTGGCCTCACTAGGCACCTTCCCTATACAGGCATGCTTAGGTGATGGCACTTCCAGGCTTAAAATTCCTCTCTGTACGTCAGAGACCCACTCTTCACCACACTCCTTCACCATCTGGCCCTGCCACCCCCGCAATGAGATAATTTTGTTGACTAAGTTCTATCACTCATAACCGCTTCTGCTTTTTAACTGACATAAGTTAGCCACTGACCAGGAGACCTTGATGTTAAATTTTACTTGTAGTAAAACATGCAAATTGCTAGTGTTTAAACAATGACTTCCGACAAATGCATACAACTGTGTTAGCAGCACCTGCAGTCAGATACAGAATATTCCTAGCCAGGTGCGGTGGCTTACACCTGAAATCCCAGCACTCTGAGAGGCCAAGATGAGAGGATCACTCAAGGCCAGGAGTTTGAGATCAGATCAGCCTAAGGAAGAGTGAGACCCTTCATCTCTACATAAAGTAGAAAAATTAGCCAGGCATCATGGTAGGCATCTGTTGTCCCAGCTACTTGGGAGGCTGAGGCACAAATATTGCTTAAGCCCAGGAGTTCAAGGCTACAGTGAGCTAGACTGAGGCTACAGCATTCTAATCCAGGCTGTAAGAGAGACTCTGTCTCAAGAAAAAGAAAGAAAAAAAGGTATAGAGTGCTCCCTTCACCCTAGAAGTTCACCCATACTCTCTGCCAGTCATTTCCAGTGCTTACTGACCATTACTGCACTGGTTTCTCTCACCAGAGCCACCAGTTCCCATGCAGTGTGGTCGCTAATTGTCTCCTCCCAGGACACACCATCCATCTGAGGTTCCTCCTTGCTGTGATGGTACCAGAAGTTCATTCTTTTTGTTGCTGTGTGGTAGTCCATTGTGCAGCTTTATCACAGTTCATTTGCCCACTCACCTGTTGGTAGACATTGAGTGGTTTCCAGCTTTGGGCTGTTATGAATAAAGCTGCTGTATAGAGCCTTCTATAGACATATGCTTTCATTTCTCTTTGGTAAATATTAGGAGTGGAATTGCTAAGTCATAGAGTGAGTATGTAAGTCTCATTTTTTTTTTTTTTGAGGCAGAGTCTCACTATGTCTGTAGACATAGAGTAGAGTGCTGTGGTATCACAGCTCACAGGCACCTCACACTCTTGGGCTTAAGTAGCCACGACTACAGGTGCTTACCACAACGCCCGGCTATTTTTTTGTTATAGTCGTCATTGTGGTTTGGCAGGCCCGGGGCGGGTTCGAACCTGCCAGCGCCAGTGCGTGTGGCCAGCACCCTAGCACCACAATGCCTGGCTATTTTTTTTCTTGTAGCTGTCATTGTTGTTTGGCAGGTCTGGGGCAGGTTCTAACCTGCCAGTCCTGATGTGTGTGTCCGACACCCTAGCCACTGAACTATGGGCACCAAGCCATGTAAGTCTAATTTTATAAAAAAATTAGCAAACAGTTCCCGTCAGAGATTGTACTCTCTAGTCACTCCTTTTCTCCCCAAAAGTTGTTGTCTGTAGGTCTTTTCTAACTTTAGCTATTCTGGTGGATGTGAAGTTGTATTTCACGGTGGTTTCACTTTGCGTTTCCTTCGTGGCTAACGAGGTTGAACACCTTTCATGAGGTCACTGGCCTCTTGTGAAGCATCTGTTCAAGTTTTATGCCTGTTTTATCATTAGAGTGTTTGCCTTGTTGGTACTTGTTTGTAGTTCTTTCTATCTCACAAATCGAAGTTCCTTCTCAGATACATGATTTTCTCTTCCTTTCATATTACTCTGCCTCCATGAGATCATGTTTTTTAGCTCCCACATATGAGGGAAAACATGCAGTATTTGTCTTTCTGTGCCTGGATTATTTCACTTAACACAATGACCTCCAGTTCCATCCATGTTGCTGCAGATGACAGCATTTCATTCTTTTGTATGACTTCTAAACGTATTCCATTGTGTGTAGATAACACATTTTCTTTATCCATTCATCCATTAACAGTTACATTGCTATCGTGAATAATGCTGTGGTAAATATGCAAATGCGGGTATCCCTTCGAAATACTGATGACTTTTCCTTTGGATAGACGCCCAATAGTGGGATCATATTGTAGGCCTACTTTTGCATTTTGTGAAGTCTCCATACTGTTTTTTATAGTGGCTGTACTAATTTATATTCCCACCAAAAGGGTTTCTTTTCTCTGCATCCACATCTACATCTATTATTTCTTGTCTTCTTAAAAATAGCTATTCTAACTGGGGCAAGATTGTGGTTTTGATTTATATTTCCCTAGTGATTAGTGATGTTGACTATTTTTTCAGATGCCCATTAGCTATTTGTCTTCTTTAGAAGAATATCTATTCATGTCCTTTGCCCATTTTGTAATGGCATTATTTGGGGGTTTTTTTGTTGTTGAGCAGTTTGAGTTCCTTGTATATTCCGGATATTATTCCTTTATCAGATGAATAGTTTGCAAATTTTTTCACACATTCAACAGGTTTTCATTTCACTCTTTTATTTTCTTTGTTGCACAGAAGCTTTTTGGTTTAATATAGTTCCATTTGTCTATTTTTGTTTTAGTTTTCTGTGCTTTTGAGATCCTAGCCATAAAATCTTTGCCTAGACTAATGTCCTAAAAGTGTTTGCTCTATGTTTTCTTCTAGTAGTTTTACAGTTTCAAGGCTTACATTTAAGTCTGTTATTGATCTTGAGTTGATTTTTATATATGGTAAGAGATAGGGATCCAGTTTTATTCTGCACATAGAAACATCATTTGTTGAAGAGGGTGCCCTTCCTTCTTGATGACTTTCTTGAAAATCAGTTGGCTATAATAAGTGGATTTATTTCTGGGTTCTCTATTCTGTTCTGTATCTATGTGCCTATTTTTATACCAATACACATATTGTTTTGGTTACTACAACCTTGTAATATACTTTGAAATCACATAGTATGATGCCTCAAGCTTTATTCTTTTTGTTCAGGATTGCTTTGGCTATTCAGGCTCTTTCTTGATTTCATACAAAGTTTAGGATTGTTTTTCTAGTTCTATGATAGATGACACTGGTATTTTGATAAGGATTACATTGAGTCTGTAGATTGCTTTGGGCAGTATGGTCATTTTGATAATATTAATTCTTCTGATCTGTAAATATGGAATATCTTTCCATTTATTTGTGTCCTCTTCAATTTCTTTCATCAGTATTTTATAGTTTTCCTTGCAGAGATCTTTCACCGCCTTGGTTTAATGTAGTCTGACATATTTAAAATTTTTAATAGCTGTTGTACATGGGATTGCCATCTTGATTTCTTTTTCAGCAGTTGTGTTATTGCTATCTAGAAACACTACTGATTTTGTACGTTGATTTTCTATCCTGCAACTTTACTGAATTCATTTATGAGTTCTACAAATTTTTTGGTGGAGTCTTTTGGTTTTTCTAAGATCATTCTATCTAAAAGAATGACAATTTGACTTCTTCTTTTCCAATTTGGATGCCTTTTAATCTTTCTTTTGCCTGATTGCTCTGGCTGGGACTTTCAGTACTATGTTGAATAGGAGTGGTGAAAGTGGCCATCCATGGCTAGGAGCCCATAGCTCAGTGGTTAGGGTGCTGGCTACATACACAGGGGCTGGTGGGCTCGAACCCAGCCCGGGCCTGGTAAAACAACAATGACAACTACAACAACAACAAAAATAGCCAGGTGTTGTGGCAGGCACCTATAGTCCCAGCTACTTGGGAAGCTAAGGCAAGAGGAAAAAAAAGAAAAAGAAAGTGGCCCTCCTTGTCGTATTCTAGTTCTAGAGGAAAGGATTTCAACTTTTCAACTTTTCATATAGTATGTTAGCTGTGGGTTTGTCTCATATGGCCTTTATTATTTTAAGGTATGTTCCTTCTGTATGTCATTTGAGAACTGAGAGTTTTTATCATGAAGGAATCTTGAATTGTATCAAACACGGTGTGTTTTACAAGGATTTGGATGTTTTAAGGCTCTGATTGCATATTGAGGAATTGCTTTTTTAAATGATGGGATGGGGAATATGTGGCCTTCTAGATCCTTAAATGCAGCCTTTTGACTGAATTTAAATTTTATAGAACAAATCCTTTTAATAAGTTTGGATTCAGTGCAGGGACTGCATTAAGGGATTAAGAAGGCTTCATGTGATCTCGGGGCTGTAGGTTCCTCAGCCCAAAGTAGCGTCTCACTGCTGCCTGAATTTGGATTGCCCAACTGTCCTGCCCTGCTCCAGGCAGGGGACCTCTGAGAACCCTTTTGCTCCTTTGAGAGCTGTTCCATTGTTCTCCTACAGCTTCTCTGCCCCTAGACCCCTCCACTTGTCACTTCTTTCTGTAAAATGAGGATAATACTATTATCTACAAATATAATTAGAGAATCCCTGCCAAGTACTTAGAGCAGTGTCTCTCATATGAAAGCTCTTCTACCTACCTGCAAGCTCTCAAGACATCAGGTATTAACTGTATTATTGCTGCTGCTGTTTCTTAGTGTTAAGTGCTCACAGCCCTGGTGTCTGGATCTATACAGAACCAGGAGTAGAGGAACATGTCTCAGATCAGCATGAGTTCCAGCTCTTCACACCATAAGCTTGTGTAAGGTCAGCTGAGTGGCTGTGATCTTGTGGTCTCTGAATCAACCCATATAAATGTATGTGCTATTCATTTAAAGTGTGATCTTTCACCTACAATCCATGAAACATTTCAGTCCTTTGGAAAATTAAGGATTGGTGAACCCCTTGAAAGTACACATTCCCTTCAGAACCTGTGTGCTTCTTTCAGGAAGAAAGTCCTATCTTTCAGCAGACGCCAAGAAGAGCTCTAGCCTCACCATCTGGGGTCGTCTGGGTGGGAACATGAGCCAGTATCTTGGTGGAGACCCTGAGCTCTGCTGGGCTTTTCATTGCTTTATGTTCATCAAACACATGAAGAATTCACCTCTTAAGACCTGTTTTGTTGACTCTCCTGCTCTTCTCCAAAACAGGCTTTCCCTACTGGTAATTGCCCTCAAACTCCTTGAGAGCTGGCTTCTGCAGCCAGAGTTTGACGCGCTCTCTCTCTCTCTTTTTTTTTTTTTTTTTGAGACAGAGTCTAACTTTGTTGCCCTTGGTAAAGTGCCATGGCATCACAGATCATAGCAACCTCCAGCAACAATGCCTGGCTATTTTATTGTTGCAGTTTGGCCGGGCCATTTCGAACCCGCCACCCTTAGTATATGGGGCTGGTGCCCTACTCACTGAACTACAGGCACCACCCTAGAGTTTGAATCTCTTGCTTTGCCATGCTGGCTTCTAAATCTTCTTTGACCTCAAAAGCATCATCGAGCACCTCTTCTGGGTGCTACCATGCTGCATGCTGATACACCTAGGGACAGAGAATGACTGCTCCCTCCTGGGCAGCACCAGTGTAAAAGGTCACTGAGTGAGATGTGGGTGGGAAAAGTAGGGAGAAACAGTGGCAGGCATGGAGGAGGGCCTCCTATTTGGCAGGGCGGATACTGAGCAGATAGAAAAGCAAGGAATTTTCAGAATGTGAGGGAATAAAGTAGGACACTGTGATGAAGAAGCCTGGAGCAGGAGAGAGGCATCTGGCCAGGTGGTCAGGAATGTCCTTTCACCCAAGATCTGGAATGGCCAGAAAGGACCTAGTGTTTCACCACCTGGACCAGCAAGGTCATTTGCGTAGCCCCTGTCCACCTTTCACCAACTTGCCAGGACAGTAGCCTTTCTGTCCCATGTGTGCCGATGTGACAGTATACCAGTCAGAACTGGGATATGCCTCTGTGTGCTTGGCCCACTAAGCTGTCATTGACTTTTCCTTATATAACATATTAGGGAGTCTCTTCCAGGAAGTTCTAAAGACGTTTATTGGAACAAAACAGATTTATTAAGAGGATTAGGAGGGCTGAAGGTAAAGCCATTGTTGAGAAAAGAAGCCAGCATCTGCACACCCCAGGACCCACCCTGTGCCTGTCCACTGCTGGCCCAGAAACCCCACAGCACATGGACAGTGCTGGTTTTCCAATACACTTTTAGAGGGACCTCCCAGGCTTCAGCTGTTTTAAAATGACAACAGATGTGACTGCCTGCCTGACACAGTGATGCAGCATTTTTATGAGGACCAAGAGCATTCTCATAAAATATACCTCTTTTATGCAAAACAGCCTCATTCTAAATTTTAAGGCAATTGTGTTGTCTCAACTGGCCAAGAACAATAAATAGCTTCGAAGGCCAAAAACATTACTCTGACCCCAATTTCTGCATTGTCCTTGGAACTGTGCAGCTGTATTTGTTTTTCCTTCAAAGTGAATGTTAAGTGATTCCCCAACCGCAGCCCAGCTTACATAGCATCTACTCCGATTTGCTGCCTCTGACATTTTTGGGACCGCAGATGTTTTCATGTCCAGCTTTAGCATTATTCTAGTCTCTAACTTGGAAACCTTGCTAGGTATATTCACTTTATTCATCTTTGAAGATGGATATATTCAATATTTCTTTATTTTCAATATATAAACCATCCTTCTCTTTCTAAAAATAGAATTCCAAAGGCCCTGGGAGACAGGAACCCTGATGGCCTAAACTGTTCCCAAAAGGCCTGCCCCCTGGCCAGACCATCTGCTGGGCTGGGCCCTATGGTGGGATTTGGGCACAGTATTCACTAGTCTTCCCTTGATATGTTTTAGCTACCTCCTGCCACATCTCCTTCCATCCAAACCTGGTCTGGACACCCACGGCATGCGGCACCCTGCAGCCAACACCATTCAGAGGGTGTTTAAGATGAGTTTCGTTCCTGTCGGCTTCTGGCAAAGGTTTATAGCACGGATGCTGATCAGCTTGGCAGAGATGGACCTGCAGGTAGGGGCAGTTCCCTTGGAAGAGGGTGCATGGGAGGCCCCAGTGAGACCCTTCTCCCAAAGCGATGTCACTGATAGACAGGAGGCAGGCATGGCACGGGCTGCTGGTGGACCCATTTGAACCCTCTGTGAACACCAAATCAGCACCCACCTGGCTTAAACAGACACTCTGTTTTAGAGCAGTGGTTCTAAATATTAGCCTGCCTCAGAATCTCTCGGAGAGTCTTTGATGACACAGATGGCTGGGCCCACCCCAGAGGTTCTGATTCAGTCAGTGTGGACTGAGGCCAAGAATCTGCATCTCTAACCACTCCCCAGGTGATGCCACTGGGCCAGTGACAATGCTGGGAGAATGATGACTTCAGAGGGTGGTTTTGCCATCCTGGCTGGATGTTAGACTCACCTGGGAGGGACTCTAATGGACGCAGTCTACACCCCAGACCAATCAAATCAGAAATTTGGGGTGTGGAACCAGTGCTGGTATTTTTAAGTCTCCTAGATGATCCCGCTGTGCAGGCAGTGGGAGAACCATGTATAGAACTTTGGGTGAGTCTGTTAACAATGAAGACCCAGCCTAAAGAGTTACGGAAAGGAGTGCCAGCTGTCAATCAGCACTGATTTCCATGTAAGACACTGATATGGAGGCAATGTTAGCCTAGAGCAGTGCTTCTCAAAGGAGGGTTCCTAAACCAGCAAAATCAGCTTCACCTAGAAATAGGTGAGAAGGCAGATGCTCGGGCCTCACCCCAAACCTACTGCCTCACAAACTTGCAAACTCAGGGTGGAACTCAGCACTGTTTTTCACAAGCCTTCCGGAGGATTCTCATGCGCTCTACAGTTTGTGAACCCCTGGCATAAACCCTGACTATTGTATCCCTGACATAACTAAACTCTGTATGAGTTTACTTTTGCCACATGCTAATTACAAAGGCCTTATTGAATTAAAACTTCTTGGCTAAATAAAAATGTTCTTTGATCCTCCCATTTTACTGAAATGGTAAGAAAAATAAATGTAAGAGACTGAAAAGAAATCAATCATAGCAGTTGTGGCCTATGTTGGCAAGGAGGAAGTTTGTTTATAAGGCCCAGAGGGGGAACTGATGGAGGAGAGGGCACAGGTGCTGGCTCTCCTGGGTTCTGAGTCCATCCCTCTTTCCTCCCTTTGAACTCTGCCTCCTACCACTTTCTAAGTGGGAAGGTCACAGAGCACCAGTGTCGTGGGAGGCAAGCTCACAAGTGGGGACCAGCTGGGCAGCAGCATCCCTCCCTGAAAATTAGGACATAAAACCTATTGCGATTCAGATGGGTGACAAGGGAAAGGGAGAATTCAGTCTCAGCACTAATCAAAGGCATGCAAATTCAGGCAGCAGTGAGTTGCCACTTTGGGCCAAGGAACCTGCGACCCCAAGACCACACATAGCCTTCTCAGTCCCCAAATGCATTCCCTGGACGGAATCCAAACTTAATAAAAGGATTTGTTCTGTAAAATTTAAATTCAGTCAAAAGGCCACACTGAAGGGCCTCAAAAGGCCACATATGACCCCAAAGCCACAGGTTCCCGATTCCATCATTTTGTAAAGCAATTTCTTGATATTCAATCAGAGCCTTAAAACATCCAAATCTGGGCAGCACCTGTGACTCAAAGGAGTAGGGCACTGGCCCCATATGCTGGAGGTGGCGGGGTCAAAACCAACCCTGGCTAAAAACTGCCAAAAAAAAAAAAAAAAAAAATCAGAATCCTTTGTCTCAGCAATCCTATTGCTAAATACCTGAACTAAGAAAATTATTTGAAATCAGAGAATATTTTGTGCTTATTTACAGAAAGTTACCTGGTATTTCTAAACATCCAGGAGAAGGCCATTGTCTCAGGAACTTTCTATACTTAATAGAATATTAAGCTTCAGAGAAATTTCTCTTTGGAGAAATTTAATAGCATTTTTAATAGCATAGGAAAAGTGAAGTTTTTAAAAGTATACACAATTAGAAATATGGCTTCAGCTTTTCTTTACACATATGTATAGATGGGGAAAAAAACCAGGAACAACATACAAAGTATGCCAAAATCTTAATGATCCCTCTCCTTGGTGTTAAATTGGTGTTTTATTTTCTCTGTATTTTTCATGTTTTCTAGCATGTATTTTTGCTTGTAACATAGGGAAGGGAAAAATTTTTAAAAGAAAAGCCTATTTTTAGTTCTTTGGAAAAGATGTCGCATAATGTAGCATTTAACTCAGCAGCGAGTATAGCCAGGGAGCAGGGGTGGGAAGGCAGTAGTCATTTATAAAATGGGACCTGGCCAGGCCTCTTTAGAGCTCTGCTCGGGGCCCCGAGGAGCCTGGAATACTTAAGCAGGCTTTTTTTCTCTGTCTTTCAGCTTTTTGAAAACAAGAAGAATACTAAAAGCAGGAACAGGAAAGTTACCATTTACAGTTTTACAGGAAACCAGAGAAATCGCTGTAGTACATTCAGAGTGAAAAGAAATCAGACCATCTATTGGCAGGAAGGGCTCCTGGTTACTTTTGACGGGGGCTACCTCAGGTAGGAACCCATCTGCCTGGGTGAGTGATTCCAGGGGCCACCTCCATAGGATGCCTCCCCCCCTTAGAGTCCAGAATTCTTCTGAGAGCCACTTGTCATGGTGGCTGCCCAGAAATGCAGGACTTTCCTATGAAGTGAGCGTCCCAGAGGAAGTTCCCATCTCCTCTCCCTCCTATGCTTACCTTGCAGGACAGGAAAGATGAGGACAGATGAGGTGAACAAAGGTCGGGACCCGAGGGAAATGGGTCATCTCTGAGTTCAGGAGGGGCCCCTCAGGCACCTCCCATGGTCACTTAGGTGGGCCCTGGAGGGATTGTGCAGCCATGCAACACCTCCTTGTTTTGAGAGAAGAAGGGGTGGGGGGTGTTCAGGCTCCCAGGCCCCTATCTCCCACTGCTATGTAATCAGATCTCTAACTCAGCTCTCTGTTCCCTTTTATTTTTGTTTTACGAGAGAGAGAGACATAAAGTCAGCTCAACAGATTTCATGAATGATAAACACCTAAGACTGTTTTAATATTCGCAATGAATTTTGTTTTTTGAGATAGAGTCTCAAGCCTTGGGGTGACATGGCCTAACAGCTCACAGCAACCTCAAACTCTCGGGCTTAAGCAATTCTCTTGCCTCAGCTGCCCAAGTAGCTGGGACTACAAGGTGCCCACCACAACGCCTGGCTATTTTTGTTGTTGTTGTTGTTAATTGCAGTTGCCATTGTTGTTTTAGCTGGCCGGGGCCAGGTTTAAACCCGCCAGCCTCGGCGTATGTGGCTGGCACCCTACCCACTGAGCTACGGGCGCCACCTCACAATGAATTTTTAAAAATATTCTTCAGCTCTATGAGAAGAGAAGAGGGAAATGAGGAAGGTTACTCTCTGGAAGGCCTGATTTAGGTCACTCTTGGGGCCTGGGGCTCCCATGTAAATGTTTTCACTTAAAGCCACAGTTGCTGCTTGACAGATGAGAACAGAGGGGTTTGGAGACACAAAGGGATCCCTGAGGGCCACACCTGAGGGTCAGATCCTAGCCTGAACTCCCCTTACTGCAGAGCATCCCTCGTGTCCCCTCACCATGCTGGGGGACAGGCACAGGGGAGACAGGGAGGTCATCCCCCTCATGCTCCCTGACCCCAGCCGGCCCACCACATGCTGCTTTCTGCATTGCAGTGTGGAATCATCTGACGTGAACTGGAAAAAGAAAAAAAGCGGAGGCATAAAAATCATTTGCCAGTCAGAAATGAGGGACTTCTCAGCAATGGCTTTTATCACGGACCACATCAATTCCTTGATTGATCAGTGGTTTCCTGGTAAGAGAACATCCTGGAACTAAGCTTTTATTCATGCTAATATCACTTTAGGAATCAGGTGGTAGGCTACTTCTTTGGTGGAAGAGAAGTCCCACTGGGGTTTCAACCCAAGAAAACCGGGGGAGAAGGATCTTCACAGCTCTTTGCTGGGTGTCCTGGCCCCAGGGGAGTCCAACTCTGGGCATGGGCAGGAAGTGCTGTGGGAAAGACATGGGCTTGAACCCCACAGAGAGTGTGCCAGGGCTTGGCAGGTGCTTACACCCAGTGTATGGGCAGAAAGGTGACCAGGCGTGGTCCTAGGAGACGCTCAGTGTGAGCCTCATGGTGTCTGTTTACACAGTTAGGGCAGTGTAGCTGAAGTTTGCGGGGGGAGTCTGCAGATGGAGAATTATCTTTGTACCGGGTTGGGGAGGAAGGGGAGCTGCAGCTGCCAGGAGGCCTTGTTATCCTTCCCTGCCACCCCACCCTACCCATCCCAGCAATGATCAGTTTGCCCACACAGTACTCCTTGGATCAGTTTCTGCATTGCAGTTCACCCAAAGAAAATACCTTTTGAAGTGAAGTTGCTGAGGTCCCCGGGTTGTTTTGCTGCTGGGCTGGAGGCAGCCCCCCAGAGCAGCCTGTAGGGAAGAGGCTGTCTGGGGCTAAATGAGTCAGGCAGCTGTGGGGAGGAGGCTGCCCAGGGAGCCCTTGGCCCCTAAAGGCTGGAGGCCAAGCCAACAGAGAGCAGGTGTGGAATCCCAGCACCTCCCACCTGAAAGCTTAGGTGAAGGCCATCCAGTGTGTGAGTTGGAGGGGGGACCCCAGGCCTATATGAACCCTTCTGGGTACTTTGTGGATCCTCACCAAATGTTTCCCCATGTAGCAGAATGGGCAGTTTGACCTGTGAGAGAGAAAGGACTCTGCTGAGCCTCCCCTGAGCCTCTCCCAGCAGGAGGCCTAACACACAGGACTACAGATGTCAGATGTGCCCAGAATGTTCTAGGCATCCACCTCCTATCCTGCACAAAACAGGCTGCTGGCCTGCCCTGAGGTACCTCCACAGGGTGCCTTGGAGGGTGTCTCTCTGCTCCTCCCATCAGAGGTGTGCAGGGGAGCCCATGCCCAGTGACTGGGTTTGTCTGTCATAATTTGTACTCATCTCCCCCCTCCCACCCCCCCGCATACTCTTCATAGTAATCACAAGCCTTATGTTTCTAATTTTAAGACTGTCCCCTTATGCACCAGCTGTGGTTGAGTTGTTGGACTGTAGCTCAGACCCAGCCTATAGTGACTTATGGGGGCCCAGCCAGGCAGAGGGGAGCCCCACCCTCCTCTCACTCCTGTCTGCCAGGCTACTCAGGGTCCAGACATTTAAGCGAGTCTCAGGCCACCCCCTAGTCCCCACCTGAATCCTCCCTGTGCGCATCTGGTAATCATGCTCTCCCAAAAAGCACCCAAGCAATGTGGTGCCCAACTTCAGCCCTTCCCTCGGGAGCAGGAGAGGGTAGGAGGCCCCCTGCAGTGAAGACCCACCCAGGCTGGGGTCATGGGGACCACTTGCTGCTGCTGCCTTGTGAGCTGTCTTCTGCTCCATCGCCATTTAGCTCTGACAGCCACAGAGAGTGATGGGACCCCACTCATGGAGCAGTATGTGCCCTGCCCAGTCTGCGAGACATCCTGGGCCCAGCATGGGGACCTTGGTGAGAGATCAGAGGACGTGCAGTATTTCGACATGGAAGACTGCGTGCTGACAGCCATTGAGCGAGACTTCATCTCCTGCCCCAGACACCCCGACCTCCCTGTGCCACTCCAGGAGCTGGTCCCTGAGCTATTCATGACTGACTTCCCGGCCAGGTATGCTCCAGCCATCCCCCACATGCAGGAAATAAGGTTGGAGGATACTTCTAGTGGGGCAACTGCTCAGGGATCCCCAATCAGACCAGTACCATGCTGTAAGGCGGAGCAGCCTCCAGGCTAGAAGCCACTCCAGCCATTGCCCCCCAACCAAATCTCAACCTGACTTTCAGGTCTCCATCCTAGGCTACCTAAAGGGAACAGGCTGTCAGCTTTGCATTTTAGAGACCTCAGCAGACCCTACTAGGCAAAGCAGGTTGCAGGTGAATCTATCCTCTGGGTCATTCAGGAGGGAGACTATTCCTGAACCTAAAGCTGAGCATTTGGACCCCCAAGATCTATTCTTATCGCTGATTCTACCTATGCTAACTATGGAAAGAATGCTGGAGCAAATAGGAACTATTTTGTGGGCCTGTGCAACAGAAAATGGTCACACAGTACAGAATAAAATCTCCTCTAATCATTGGAAACCAGAAGCTATGATTTCGTCTCCCTGGAGACAATTTGACCCAGGTGCTCTCCAACTTTTTTGGAGCAGTGAAGTCCTATTGTGTTTTTATTGTGTACTAGTATCTGGTTTCTTAAAAAAAAAAAAAAAATTAAACTGAGGGGAAGGGATTCTTATCTTTGTATTCTTATATTTGCATTCTCATTTTTCTAAATTCCTCCAAATAGATATGGAGTGCTCTGTGATATTGCCAAACTGGGGTTCCAAAGTCTGCCTCTAGACAAATCTATTAAATTAAGAAAATGCTTCCTACATAGGGTGATTTCTCTTCATGGTGCAATATCCCCAGTTCTCTCATCAGGGGAAATGTCAGACAGCACTCTTCAATAGAGTGACTTCCCCTCATCTGAGATCTTTTAACATGAGGGTTCTCAGTTCTGAGACCACATGCAGGTGGGGTAGGGGGTATATGAGGTAGATTTTGGGAGGGTTGTCCAATTAAGTACCTCTAAATTTTTAGAATTTTCATGTATTTGCTAAAGCTGGCTACCTTTTATGTCTCAGCCTAGAGACCTCAACTGAACCTGGGCTGTGGAATTTACCTTATGAGATTTGCAAAGCCAAATTAGACTATGCCTGCTGGTTTGGATCTGATCTCAGCCCATAGCTTGGTTCCTTTTTTTTTTTTCCTGAGATTCATTAAGTGTACAAAGAATTAGGTTACACTGATTGCATTCGTTAAATAAAGTCCCTCTTATAATTGTGTCCCACCCCCAAAAGTTGTGCCGTACACCATGACCCTCCATCCCCCTCCTGCCTCCTGTCTCCCCACTTGCTCATTCCCCTACCACCTCCCTTGTACTAGCTCATCTACTGCCTTTACATTAGACATTGGATTCTTGCAGAGAATATGTTTCTCCTCCATCCAGGTTAATACAAAAGATTTAAAGTCGCCAACTTTTTTAATGGCTGAATAGTATTCCATGGTATACATACACTATAGCTTATTAATCCATTCCTGAGTTAGTGGGCATTGAGGCTGTTTCCACATTTTGACAATTATAAATTGAGCTGTGATAAACTGTCTAGTGCAAACGTCCTCATGATAAAAGGATTTTTTTTCTTCTGAGTAGATGCCTAGTAATGGGATTGCAGGATCAAATGGGAGGTCTAATTTGAGTTCTCTAAGGATTCTCCATACTTCCTTCTAAAAAAGTTGTATTAATTTGCAGTCCCACCAGCAGTGTAAAAGTGTTCCCTTCTCTCCAAATCCACACCAGCATCTGCAGCTTTGAGACTTTCTGATGTGGGCCATTCTCATTGGGGTTAGGTGATATCTCAGGGTGGTTTTGATTTGCATTTCTCTGATGATTAGGGACAATGAGCATTTTTTCATTGTCCCTAATGTTTGTTAGCCATTCGTCTGTCTTCTTTAGAGAAGGTTCTATTCATCTGTCTTGCCCAGTGATATATGGGATTGTTGGGTCTTTTTAAATGAAGTTACCTGACAGGCAGTTGAAAAGCTCAATGACCTGTACAGGATTCACTGTCCAGGGGAGGCACTCTGACCTTCAGCTGAGGCCCAGGTACTGCCACAAAGTATCACATTCCCCTGGCTTAGAGTTTGACAGGCAGAGGGACCTGGCATCCCCTAGAGCCCTGCCCTATGGAGTCCCGGAGTCCCAACAGAAAGCCCAGAGGGATACCCAGAGATCCCATTGCCCATGTGCCTGTCTTCGTGGGCTCCTGTTTGCCCACACTTCCTGAGCAGGTGGTTTTGTGGACACGGATAACAGCCCTGGCCTGTCCTTTGGGCTGCTCTAGTCAGGGCTTCAGGGCTAAGTTGAGCTACACAGTTTGCATAGCTACAGAACCCAGTCCTGAGAGGAAACAGCTGGGAAACAGAGGCAGCTGTGGGGCTGGTCGCAGGTAGGTCTGGGAGGGCCAAGGCAGAGGCTCTGCCTTTGCCTGGAGGGCAAGGAACCCAGAGGGACTCAGCAGAGCAGGGAGGGCCTGCAGGAGGGTTCTGGGCTGACTTTTCCTCCTCTGCATGCCATGCTCTGCCTTTTCTTTACACTGTTTCTGAAGGAAAGGAGGAATCTCGAGGAATTAGGGGCACAGTTAGAGGTTTGGTCCCTGGTGAGGGCCCAAAGATGGTTGGAGAGTGAGGGATGTCCACTACAACTGAGCCTTGCCTGCCGGCCCCAGGAGCCTCATGGAGAACCTACAATGCTATCGCTTCTGGCCCGGCCTCCCTCCATACTGCCCATAAGGCTCTAGGCCTCTCTCTGGGCCTGTGCGGGCCTGGGCTTTTTAGACTCTAAAACCCACAGGTCCAAGGGGTCTGCAGAGAAGACTGAGGGGTCTAGGAGCAATATGTAGCATTTCCAAAAGCCCAAAAGAAATCTCCCTTTTACCTAGGATTCAAACACACACAGCAGCCAGGTGGCCTAAACCCTCTCCCTTACATGAAATCCCAGGCACAGATTGAGGAGAAGCTCTGTGGCACTGTATACAATATTTGCTTAGTAAAAGTAAGGCAAGAAACAACTAACCTGATAGTAAATAAATTCAGTTTGTGCATTCAAAGCATATAATCTTTTGGAGGAAAGCACCCAGAGGGCCCCTTTTTCTGTACCCAGCACTTTTAGAGTCTCTGCCCCATGCCAATCATCAGCAGTACCTCTGAGGCTTATTATCATAAGCCCACTTTACAGAGGAGGAGACTGAGGCTTGGCAAGGCTGCATCACCTGCCCTAGTGTGACCCCTGGCAAGCAGAGGGCCAGGGTTAGCCCAGACCCATTCAGCCTCAGATAAACCACAAACCTCTTCAGAGAGCCAAGAGGTGTGGGCTGACCCTGGCTTGCCTGTGCCACAGGCTTTTCCTGGAGAACAGCAGGCTGGAGCACAGTGAGGATGAGGGCAGCATCCTGGGCCAAGGCGGGAGTGGCACCGTCATCTACCACGCTCGGTACCAGGGCCAGCCTGTTGCTGTGAAGCGATTCCAGATCAAGAAATTCAAGAACTTCGCCAATGCCCCAGCAGGTAAGTGGGTCCCACTCTGGCATCCACGTGCTTCCTCTGTCCAAGCTCTGTACCATATGTGGAGTAGGAGGGGAGGAGGGTGGCAAGGCCAGTGTGGGTCCCAGGGAAGCCCTCTGCTTCGTGCCTGGCAGCTTGTGGGCCAGGCTGAGCAAGGCTTAGAAGTTGCTCTTTGAGATGACCCTCTGGCCTAACCTGAGCCCCTAAGAGCAGGGACAACTCTGACCTGGCTGCGTGTGTCCAGCACAGCATTAACCCGACCCCAGGTGGACCTGCCACAGCCTAGGAAGGTAGGTTCTTCCTCACCACCATCCACCCCGACAAAGGAAGGAGCTCTGTAGGAGACGCCAACATCTGAGCAAGATGATCTGCAGCTGAGGCGTGGACCTCAGGCCATTCCTCCACAGGAGTTCCTTGTGGGAGGAGCCCGTGCCCTCAGCAGTAGTCATTGTTAATTACTCCCCTCACCTGTGTCATTCCCTTTCAATAAAAGGCTGATGCCGAGATTGCTGGGGCTACCTGGAAAGTGAGGGCTAGCCCGCCTTCCAGAAGCTTGTACTTCTTTT